ACGGGAGAGGCCGCAGCAGTGAGAGGCCTCTCCCGTTGCGGAGCACAGGCTCCGGACGCGCAGGCTCAGCGGCCATGGCTCACGGGCCCAGCCGCTCCGCGGCATGTGGGATCTTCCCGGACCGGGGCACGAACCCGTGTCCCCTGCATCGGCAGGCGGACTCTCAACCACTGCGCCACCAGGGAAGCCCCCAAGTACTTTTTGAGAGTAGAGTTCAGAGGGCTTAATTAGGGATGGGGGTCTTAGATCAATGTGGGGAGAAGAGAAGGAAACAGCCCTAAGAATCAGAGTGTGAATGAGGGGGAGAATCCAGCAGCAGAGGTTACAAAGTACCAGGTTAAAGGCTGGTACTCCAGCCCAATTCACTGACTGTAACAGGAAGGAGGCTAGCAGGTATGGGAGCCCCAGGTACCTGATGCGTGGCTTCCGGAGGGAAAGACCCAGGAAAGACAGAGAGGTTGAACAAATGGGTCAATTTGACAAATAACCAATTACCATTTACCAAAGGCCAATTAATTGAAAACTGATTTGTTGAAAATCAGTTTGCTGAAGAACCCATTTCCCTGATGAGTGATCCCTGGAATTCCCCCAAAAGTTGTTTTACTCTATTACTTTAAAAATTATAGAAATGTGTGTGCTATGGTCTCTACAACACTGAAGATTTTCCTGTAAGTTTGGTTTGCTTTTTCACATATGTTTAGTAGTCTAGCTTGGTTTACAAGTTTTCAGGTGTCTTTTCACCAGATATTTCCTTGTGGATTTCTCAGTCCATCTCTGGTAAATGTCAGTCTTATGTGGGTTTCCATATTTCAGAAGCAGGGCACTTCTTGAATGCCCAATATATATATATTTGGTGCCAGTGGATGGATTTTCCCTCAACTGCGTTTACTGTCAACTCTAATTTAAAGACTTGTGCCTAAATTGAACTATAGCTCCCACTTTGGGATTTTGCCATTGGGGAAGTTGTCATGGATATGTGAAAATTAACATGCAGAAGAAACATTTATTTGGCTGACTGCCAAACCACTTTGAAAAAAAAAAAAAAGAGAAGTTGCAAATTGGTGTAAAATTACGCTTGAAGGGCAAACTACCTCCTCTGCAAACCAAAGGTTAAAGCCTCATGCATTACCAAAACCTTTTCTAAGTAATTTTTGAGAAGTAGTCAGCTTTAGAATGTGAATCACATACCCATAAATCCAATATAAAACAGTGGTGGAGACACCAAAAATAAAACTTCTAAACTAGAGAAACACCAACAGCCAAAATGTTGAAAAGCATCATTAACGGCTTTTGAAACTTCCTGTGCAACACCTATTATGACACATTTTGTAAGTAATTAAGAGAAATACGTTTTGGGGGCTTTGGCAGTCTGTGGAATTGGTCACTTGGCAAACTGATCTTTAATAAGTTGGCTTTTTGGTCACAGTGAGATTTGGCGTTTGGTAAATGGTCTTTCAGAAAATGGCTCTGTTTCTGCAGTCAAATGCTCTACCTGCGAACTCTACCCCCAAATGGCTCTGTTTCTCAAGAAGACGGTGAGAAGGAGGCTGACGGAGAGACTTAGCCGGTTCTGAAAAGGGGGAGGGATGTGATCCCAAGATTTAGATTCTGCTGGAAAGGAGGGGAAGGAGCAAAGTAAGGTTATGCACAGAGCTGGGCATGAGAAGAGTTAATTCCAGAGGCATGGAGAGTGGGTCCTTTTGTTGAAAGGGGTAAGAACATCTGAGGACAGAGAGTCTGGGAGCAGAAGTGCCTGGGGCCTCGAAGAGAGGAAGCAGCTCGCTGGGCACAGGGAAGCTGGTCCAGCTGGGACCCAACCAAAGAAGCTCTGCCGCACACCTACCGGTGTGATTTCTTCAGCGGTCCTCCACATCCTGGGTGTGACCAGCTGGATTGCTTTGGGGGTTTGGGGTTTTCCTGGGCAGGTGCTATGGGAAGATAAGGGAGGAAGAGATTCAAGGATGATGGAGAGAAGGATTAGAAATGAGAAGCCCTAGAAGCCAAGATGGTCGTGGACGCAGAAGTAGGGGAATGCGGCCGGGTGGAACCGGGGTCTCCGTGCGGTCGTGTCTGCTGAGAGTAAAGCAGCTGGGGAAGACGAGAGTGGGTGGGAAAACTGCAAACGGAGTTAAGACTCTGAGGTGGAACAGTGCTGGGGGCACCAGGGTCTCCTGTGGCCTTGGGGGCACTGGAGGGAGTGTGAGGTGGGGGAGGGACCTTGGAGCTCAGATCGATCAGGGGACATGGGAGGCCATGGCATTGGCTGAGTCAGCCACAGACTGTGAAGTTGCCCGAGTGAGATAATATTTAGTGCTGTTCTCAGGCCCAGCTCCAAGCGCTCCACCTCACTTCTACACACGCACACACACCACCCTCACCACCACCGGCTCTGTTGCTGCTTCCACCGCCACCATTAACTCTTCTCCCACAGAGAACAAAGGGCTTTTAAGCACTCCTCCTGGCCTCCCCCTCTCCCCATCCCTGGGTCCTTCCTCCTTGTCCCTGCCTGGATGGCAATTAACACAGTCATAACTCTGGAACCCGCCTCTGTTTCTGGGCAGACATAGCCATTCATCCATGAGAGAATAAAATTAATCTATTTCTGTCTTCATGCTGCCCCGAATGTCTTTCCTCCCACTCCCAGGGGACGACACTACCACTCCCCATGCTCCTCAAGTTCCTTTCCATCCTTCACCCTCCCTGTCTGCCCTGGAGGCAGCCTCAGCCCTCTGCTGGTGACGGTGTCCCCCTGGGGAGCCTCTGACCTACATCAACTCCTCACCCTCTTCTCGGAGCTCAGCCACAGCCTGGAGTGCAACAGTGACTCCTGGGGTTGTGGACTGGAAAGCCCTATTAAAATGCTAATATGGCATCTGGAAGGGGTAAAGTATTAAGACAGCAATGAACATTCAGTTCTGAGGCTTCCTCCTGCTTTGAGCAGTCTAGGGAATGCAACTCACAGGGCCGTGCATCACATACTGAATGACATTTCTAACCTGTCCTACACCTGCCATGATCCATACGAAGCTTCCCCTTCTCTCACGCTGAAGGCCAAGCACCATCCAGGGACCCCCAGACCTCAGGGATCTGGCAGCTGCCACTGCCCAGTGTCATACAGAAATATAACAGGAAAATCTCAAATACTTAAAAACTAGACAACCTACTTCCAGATAATCCATGGTTCAGAGAGGAAGTCTCAAGGGAAGCAGACACTGAACTGAATGAAAATGAAAATACGACACATCAACATTTGTGGGATTTTTAAAGCAACGCTTAGAAGAAATTTTATACTGTTAATGCTTTCATTAGAAAAGAGGAACCTTTTCAAATGAGTAAGCTGAACTCTCACCTCAGGAAACTATAAAAAGAAGAGCAAAAAGAATCCCAAAGCAAGCAGAAAGAAGAAAATAAGAAGATATGAACAGAAAGCAATGAAAGTGAAAGCAAACAAAAAAACAACAAAACAAAAAAAAAAGAAAGAGAGAAAATTCATGAAACAAAAGCCAGCCCTTGAAAAGATCAATAAAATTAACAAACCTCTAGCAAGACTGACCAGAAAAGGGAAAGAAGACACAAATTACCAATA